GGAAAGAGAGTGGGAGTTTGTGTGGGACCTTGTAAGGTTTGATGTCTCTTTATAGGGGTTTGTTTCAAATTTATTCTATAATTATCAGCTAGGTCATATTCTTTTGGATCGGAAGCTCTTTCTCTAGGCTGGCTTCCTTTTTCGGGGCTGTGTTTTTGTATGCCCTTGTAATTCTGTTTTGTTTTCATTCTTCTCAATGAATAGTTCGGTTTCTTATCCAAAAAAAAAAAAATATATATATATATATACTAAAAAATAAATGATAGTTCATTTGAGGGTAGCTAGGTTTCCCACCACGTCCTTTTATCAAGTTACTGTTGAGCTTCAATCACTTGGACTAAAATATATACTGCAAGAATTGCTCAAGTTCACCTAGTTGTTGATTAACTATAAAAAATGCAGTTTTTGCTGACACTGTAAGTTGAGAAAAAATGATCTTACTTCGTAGTTGCTATAGATAATATTGTATAACTTTTACATACTTCCAAACCTGTATTCTTTTTAGCAGACAAATTTAGTTGGAGAATGTACAAGCTATTAGTTACATGAACATGAACCCTTAGTTTTAAACAATTAAGTACTGCATATTAACAGATCAAAATCACATTTGAGTTTCCTCTTGTCTGCTATTTCTTTCTTACACTACTCGAGCTTAAGTTTTTTATATTATCAATAGTGTATGCCCAAATTCCCACCAGCATGCAAAGGATAAGAAATGTTGATTACAGCTCACAACTTTTAAAATAATTAACAAGAGCTAGAAAATGCATTCATTGGTTGAGTTCATTTTCTAAGTCAACATATTAGACGCAATGCCAACGGTATAGTCATTTGCGTTCAGAAGCACACTCACTGAAATATGTGTTGTGAACAACTCTCATTACCGCCAGTCAAAATTGACTGTCGAAGGTCATAGACATGCTTGCGCTGCACCTGGTCAACGAAAACAAAACATTTCAACAGTCACAAAGAGATTGTGATATAGTTTCTTGGCCAAGCCAACCACGTTTCCAAGTTCAAATCTTGTGTTTTTTTACTATAAGCATAGTGAAATCAACAAAAATATTCGGCTAATTGGTGATAATGACTTAAGGTATTACTGAATACTGTCACTTTGAAGCCCGTATTTCATTTCATATCCTCCAAGGAGTACATGGAGTAGTTAGTTATTTAATAAAAAAAAATCCCTAAAAAGTATCGGCACTATTCCAAACTTACCTCTAACACTTCATCAAATTCAACTAGGCTTTTTCGTATGCCAAAGAAGTATTTCTCTGCATTGATTTGTAGGGCCAAGAGCTAAACATCATAAGAATAGAGAGTATTAATAACAAAAAAATCCTTTATTTTAACGGAAAGGATGATTAAAAAGATCATAGCTGTCACCTGTTTCACAATTGCATCACCTTCAATTGGAATATCTTCATCATTAGTTATTTTAGAAATGAGTCTCACAGCCCATTCTGTATCAAAATTGAACTTTTGAAACATCTCATCCTGCAAGCTGTCAAAATTTATAGGACACAAATTAGCTAGAGCAAGCTCATTACCATTCAAAATAATATATGCATCCTTTTAAGTTTCAAATTTTTTAAGACGTAAATGTTTTATTATTTAGATAGATATCTGCAGCTTAAACAGCATGTTTTTTACCAAATTGTTATTTAAAAAAAGAAACATATCAGTGTATCGAAAAGCATACATATGTAGACTGACCTAAAGAAAGAATGAAAGAAAAGAAGAAAACGTATTCAATGAGACGAACTGAAGAAATATTTCAGCATACCAAGCTCCCAGAAAAGTGCATCAGATTTCTACTTCACACATTCAACCAAGAATTAAAATATTGTTGAGTATATGTTATGGATATTGAATAATTAAGCCTCCAAAAGCTAGTATTGTTCAAGGAACAATCAAAGACTAAACGTGTTCTACAAATCAATCAATATACCTCAGACCAGCACTGCTAGATTTGTACAATTAAGAACAAATTTCTTACATTATCATAAAAGGACGAAGAAAATAGAAAAAAAAATTGATTCAAACCAGGGATCCTGGAGTTTCAGTCTCAAGCTGAATGCTATTGTGCCACTAGATATCATCTATTTATTTGTACCACGGGGTCTTGGTATGTGCACAGGCTTTTTTGTGTCATGGGATAGTATTCTACCTGACCATAAACCGGGTTGATCCAGGGTCTCCTTGTCTTCCTGCTCTCCCACGAAGCTATAAGAAATGATGACCATTTAGATTTAAGATCCAAATCCAAAATGAAATCTCTTTACCCACAGGAAAGTAGACAAAAAAAGGAACTAAGAATTCAAAGATTAAGACAATGATGAAATAGTTACCAAAAAACTAAAGGGAAATGCCAATGTTTATTTTGTATACTACGCCAGAACTTTTTGACAACCTATGTCGAGCTCCACATTTATTAATTAATAGACAAAACAAGAAACAGTAAAAATGTCCTGAGAAGAACAAAAAAACAGTAGCATATATATCGTGATATATACTATACCACTAAGTTTAAGATGTAATTTATGAAGGGCACAGAGATATGCTGAGGAATGACATTTATGGTGGCACCACCAAACCAATCAAGCCTAAAACGCATAGACACTCTAGCTTGATTAATTAGTCTGTAATCGATGCATACTGGCCACTATAATCATTTGGAACCTTCTTGAACACATATGAACCTAATTTTGATAGTTTTCTTTTTTTTTTCCTTTAATTGACATAATTGATGGACATAAAATTATATAAAGAAAATTAAAAGATTTTGATAATGAAAAATGCCATGAAGATATTTGATTGTAAATATCATTTTTATAAAGTGTTGAATAATTCAGAAACATGTTAAATTTGCTTTAAATCCTTTGCTATGGCATCACCAAAAAGAAAAAAAAACGAGAAACTTACTTTTTATCAACAATAGGGAAAGTACTGAGGGAGGAGGGAAAAACAGAAATCCACTCACACTAGAAAAGAAAATGAGATTAAAAATCCTCATATTAATATTAATTTTCTAAATATTTTCTTTCTTGGCGACAATTTCTCAAATTTTTCGTAATTATTAGCTAGGTGTCTTTTGGATTAAATTTTGTTCTACATAGTTGGGGGCTGACTTCTTTTTGTGAGGCTGATTTTTTGTATGAGGTTGTATTTTATTTCATGATGCCCAATGGAAGAATAGTTTTCCATATATACATATATATTAATTTTCTAAAGAAATGGTGTAAATTTAGGGTGTAATTGCCAAGGACATCAAAAAGCTGCATTAAATTTCAAAATTCCTAAATTTCTTTTTCTTTATTGATGATATGAAAAATATACAAAAGGCCGCAAGGGCATTTACAAAAACACCTTCCAATTGTAGATAAGGTCGTTCAGGGTGTAGCTATGGAGGGTGTAGCTATGGAAAGATGGATAGTAACTTTTACACCAATCCAGAGTTAAAACAGTAACTCTGTCAAAAAAGAAATCAAAAGGAAGAGATTTATCATTAAAGACTCGGTTGTTTCTCTCTAGCCATAAGCTCCAGAGGAAGGCTTTGATGAAAAGAGTCCATAGTGTTGCTCTGTTTTGTTTGAAAGGATGACCCACCAAGAGACAATCAAGGAAGATGAGTGGGTTGTTGTGCGGTGCTGTCTCCCATCCAAAAGTAGTGATAGAGGCAAAGCTGCAGCTGATGAAGAGGTGTCCCGGGGATTCCCATGCCTTGTAACAAAGATGACAGCAGCCGGGAGAGAGGGAGAAATGAGGGAGCTTTCTCTGAATCCGATCATAAGTATTCAATGCCCTATGGCTTAGCTCCCAGCAAAAGAATTTGATCTTTTTGGGACATTTGCCTTTCCGAAGGTTGGAGAAAAGGGAAGATTTGGTATGGTTTCCATTCATGGTCAAGTGCTTAAATACAGAGCTGGTAGTGAAGGATTTACTCTGTTCCAAGGGCCAAATCTATAAGTCTTCACGAGGGGGAGGGGTGAAAGCATCGAGTAACTGTGATAGGCCCATCCATTCATCAAATTCCTCATCTTTAAGAGGCCTGCGGAAACTGTAATCCTAAGAGGAAGAATTCTTAGACCAAAGTTCAGCAATTTTGGCATTGATAGGCCCTCAATTTCTTTTTCTTTTTTCTTATTTTGATCAGATAACCTGCTTTCCCTTTCCTTTTGAAGAATGCACCTTGAACCATTTGAATTATGGAAGAGGAAACCTCTCAAGGAAATACCAGCTTAGAACGAATGTACCCAGAATTGAACTTCAAACCTTTTTAAAAAGTCAAAATGTATGAAGAGATGGTAAGAGTTACCGCGGCTTTTGTAGCTTTTTTAGGGAATTTCTTCCAAATTCTGTTAAGTCAACGGTATTCAATTTGTTTACATATAGGCCATGCCATTGCGTGCATATTAGTTGTTCTAAGATCAGACAAACGAGGTCTAATAAAATTAAACAGAGTTAAAATGTAAAAACACCTACATTTATGCTTGGCATGAAACTAACAATTCAAGGTGATTATAATATTGAAATCAAATAAAATCCTCGTGAAAGAAGAAAAATAGCCATAACCTAATCACATGAACCAAATCATATTGTTGGTCACAGAATCTCACTTCTTATTTTGCACCAAAATCGTCATGGTCATAAAAAAAATATTTCAGAGAGGTAAGGAAAGCCAACCTGGTTATCAATTCTCCGGGACTCATGTAAAGATGTTCCTATAACGTGAAGGCCTCCAAGTCTTTTTACTTCAGCCCCTTCTTTCAAACAGTGCACTTCACAATCCTCTAGAACTGACAAATAAGCAAGAGCTATAGTGGGGCCAAGAGGGTACGTCTCGATCTGTTCATCAGCCAGCCTCTCTAACTCTTTAATATTCATAGACTGGCTCATTTCCACTGACTCTGAGATCATGGATTTTGCCTCTTTATATGTCCAGCTTTTACCTTCATTTTTGCATGTATATTTAGCTGGGAAATTCATAAGTCAAAGCATCAGAGTTAGTATGTTTGCATCACTGGTAAGTTGGAATAAATGTAAAATTACATTCATTTAAAATCATTTTTGAGACTAGGTATTTTAAGAGATCGCAGACCCATTAAAGCTGTCTTGGCTAGCCAAGCTAATGACGATGGTCCAACATTTATCTTGGACAACACCTATAAGAAAAGGATAAAATAGATATGAAATTCATGAAGCAGCTATACAAAAATCACATAACCATAGTTAATTACCTTCCTTGAAACTTCTTCACCATCAATTTCATAATCAAGAGATTCTTTTGTCAGAAATGAAAGCAGGCTATCTTCCATAATTTCTTTCGCAAGCATCTTCAAGTATTAGACAGGATTTTTTTTAAAATAAGTAAACAAAAATAAAATAAAAGAGCTACTTGTCTCCGTATAAAGGGAGATAGTTTCCCAAACTGACTAAAAAACTGATTAACTCGTGTACTTTTGGATTTCCTCCTAGAATTATGTCAGTGCCTCTGCCAGCCATATTTGTTGAAATGGTGATGGCATATTTCCTTCCAGCTTGTGCGACAGTTTCAGCTTCCCTAGCTGCATACTGGGTAAAATAGAAGAAACAGGAAGGCAAAAAGGTTTTAGTATAGAAGTTAGACACATCAATCAATAAGGTTTTCATTAGTTAGATATTAACCTTGGGTCGTGCATTCAAGACATTGTGGGGAATTTTTCGTTCCTTCAGCAAGTCAGATAAATATTCAGAATTTTCAACACTGCATCAAGCAATGAGAGAACATTGTGGTAGATATACTCATAACACTCCAGAAGTGAAATAGGAACTCTCTACTGAAAACGTGAGGATAGTAAAACTTTAAAAAAATTTCTCAGAAAATAAAATTTTCAACTTACTGATTATCTAACTGTTAGGACTGTAAAAGCACAAATAATTCATTGGCCTCATTATTTATTTCACTTAAATTATCTTCAAGGCAGTCCATTGCAAACAATCGCCACTAAATAACAGAACATTTATATAATTGGGGGAATTTCTTTGTATCAAATAAGGTTGTTGGTAACCGTATAGGATTTTGGGCTTAATTCTTGAATTGGAAATATTATCAACTCCTAATGGGAGTATTGTACTTTGTACTTTGTAACTTTCCACCATTTAAATAAAAAAATCTACAAAGACACCACAAACCAAATTAATAGAAACATTCAACCAATTAGCCAACACCTTTCCAATTACTTGTAGACAGCATGAACCATATTAATGCGCCTGAAATCAATAACTTTGAAAGTCTCCACCATTAAATCACCACTGAACCTAAAATTTAATATTTTATCAATATTTAACACTTCTCTCACTTGTGAGGTTAAAAATTTGCGAACCTGTTATCATATTTGATAACATTAATTGTTGAGGAATTGACTTTGGCTCATAGGTTATGTTAAATTTAATCTTTTATCAATTCTTTAATACCACCTTTTAGAGATCGAACATGTCAAAAACTAGGAAGATGACCAATCCTTTCTAGAATCCTTTGTCCCCTTCATTTTTTTCTGCAATACTCCATTTACTTGTACTATTTTCAATTTCTAAATGAATCTAACAGCCATTAGCCATTATATGGCAAAGAGTGGAATTTTCATCTCCTAGCTTAAACCAATCAGACTTGCATTTTTGCCTCTATCTGACCTCTTCCTTGGCTAGAACATAAAACAATTTCAATTTTAATACTCAAACTAAACTCTTCCTCAACAAGGCCACCGTTTTCCATTTTTAAATCCAGGTTCATGATAGAGAGAGCAATCTTGCTCTTCTAATTGAGGTATCCCCAAAGCATAGCAATTCCACTTTTGAAGATTTCTTTCAGCAGCTCAGCATTTTATTCAAAGAGAATATTGCCCAACTTTTCACCTCGAAGGAATTCAACCAATCTTTGATCAAGTCCTCAAAACCTGGATGAGGGAGACAAAATGTCTTAGGGCAGGGTAAAAGATCCTGTTACAAGCAGAATAGGGAAATAGTAAGAGATTCACAATATTCCTTCCCGTTCTAGAGAATCTGGAATGAATGAACCTATTACTTCAGTCATTTGAAAGAACAAGTCCGCCAATTAGAGAAACACAAGTTGTTCTCTCATGTTGGTCCAAGGACCCACTGGAAAGAGGAATATCAAGAGAGGTCTTGGATGGTTGGTTGAACTTCCTCGTGCTTTTGGTTACAAAATGAAATGAGATTTTCTCGCACCCACCGATGCACCAACACTCGAGAGATCCAACAAACTGAAAGTGTCCCCCAAGTCAATAGTCAACGAGATGGAAAAAGTCCCACTCAAAACATCAACAGCTAAGATGAACCTCTCATTCCACAAAGCTAAGGTTCACCCTGCAATATCAACCGAAAGAATAACAAGCCATTCAATGTTCCTAGAACTCCATAAATTTAACCGAACTCTTATTCACCTTCTAAGGCCTGGATTCTTAAAGGAAATCTATCTCTGGATCAAAAAAACACTATGGTGTCTTCTTTCTTTCTAGCCCCAAAGCCCCTGACGTTCCACTTTGGGAATCTTAATTGGTCTGCACTAAGCCTCCCTTCCACAGTGTGAGGGCAACCATTTTTCTCATAATTCACAGAGGAGATAAGTCTCTTTAATTCTCTACTCCATGTCACTTCTTTCTGGGAATATAAGATCTTCCTTGCTTTTTTCTAGGAATGGACCTGACGACAGACCAAATTTATAAACCTGATCGCTATGGCCTTTCATTTTCTATCAAGAAAAATAAGGGCTAGACACTTGGGTTCCCTCCCCAGGTCCTCCTTGAAATACAACATCTGGCACCTCTGTGGTCTCTATTTATTATTGATCTTAAAAGGCCAAAGATCATGAACAGTAGGCATTAGTAGCTCTGTATATTACCAAGGAGCAACAAATGAAAATGAAAATTCTATTGCAAAGACGAGAGGACTTTTGCTTGAAAAACATACATTTGTGATCCAATTAGGGCCAATATTTACATGCACATTGGCCATAATAAAAAGACAGTAAAAATATACCTGGTGGTACCAACTAAAACAGGACGACCTTGTCTGAACATGTACTCAACTTCTTGGTGAACATATTCCCATTTTCCTCTAGCAGTCTAGCAAAAAGAAAGATCATAGAAGGTCAAGTTGAAATTTTGAACTATATGGGAAGGTGGAATACAGATTAACTAAAAAGTACTAAAGCCCTACTGCAAAAGCTTGGATAGGTAAATCTTTACGTATGTTTGGCAAGTTTGTGGGCACTTCAATTACAGGCGTCTGAAACATTTTCAGAAACTCTTTTTCCTGAAATGATATATATAAGAATATTGCATGATATATCAAATAACAAATAAATGTTTATTGCCAAAATGACTAAATAAAAACATATGACATCAAATTATATGCATCTACATCAGTGCCCACCTCAGTTTTCGCAGTTCCAGTCATCCCTGACAACTTTGGATAGAGCTTAAATAATGATTGATATGTGATTTGTGCCACTATAACTGAATCAGCCTGAAAAGTACACAAAATTAGACTAAACCAACACTAAATCGTTTTTTTTCATTTTTTTATAAGATATATTGTTCTTTCCTTTCTAAGAATACTTATCAAAATGATAATATACCTGAATCTTCAGACCTTCTTTGGCCTCTACTGCCTGATGTATTCCCTCAGACCACCTTCTTTTTTCTTCCACTCTGCCCGTCAGCTGCAGAAATGTCACACTGTTAAATATGGTCATCTATATGTTCGCGCTTGAAAGTTCCAAAAGAATGCAGTCAATACCAGGGTGATACAAGAAATACATAACAATTCAGATCGTAAAAATTATAGGATAACAAGTTTTTTTAAGAAAATAATATCACGAGCTTATTCTAACAGGTTGATGAAAAGGGAAAAAATTACACCGTAAATAGATGTGTATTTTCGGGGGAGATAACAATGTTAGACATCAAGAAAACATTTCTATCTATTTCGTGCATAATTCTTCAATTTAATTGCTTTACTATTACCTAAGAAAGTCAAACATAATTAAAACCAATGAATACCTTGACCTTCCCCTACGGCCCCTTAGGAGGGGACAATGCTTATTATCTCCCCTAGTCTGTAACTCTTGCTACCCCCCCACAAAAGACTTAAAAGACTGATCTAATTCTTTTTCTCATTACTACAACACACCAACCAAAGCAAAAAGCAAATCTCCTCAATGCCTAAAAGCTCTTTAGAACTTCCGATTCAATAACCTTGGATAGCCTACTTGTTTACATTGTCCCTTCTTTCAATGTGTATAATTCGAGCAAGCCGATAGCTAGCAACATCGAGAAAAATTAAAAAGTTACATCAAGGGTCGAAATAAATACCCAAGCCAATAAAACCCTTAAAAATTCCCACAATTCATTCACCCACCCTAGAAGATGAAGACCACATGTGGTCCTTCTGCATCCTAATTTAGAGGAGAAGAAGTAGATTTTTTAGTTGTTGGATTGGTGCAGTTGAGCAAACTTTTATGTGGGCACTTCCTCCTCCAGAAAAAAGCTAAAAGATTTGATGGCATGTAGTGATAGGGCCTTATTACAGTATCTCAAAAGTTGTTTCTTATCGAAGAAAAAAGGTCACCAGACTATCGAGCTAAAGAGCAGCATTTTGCGACTAAAATAAAAGGTGAATTAATAGTTTGAACGAGCCTTGGACGGTAAAGCAGTTGGACCAGTGAAGAAGTACTGGTTGTGGCTCCCAACATCTGGGAAACTTTTATTGACGATGTGCTACTTGGTTTTTTTTTCCAGCCATGTCATCCCTAAGCTCTCAAATGTTCACTAAATTTTAAAACTAGAGATTACTGGCAATACAGTGTCCAATAAGATCTTGCAGACGTAGTCTTATGGGATTTTAAAGTCATGACCATAGATTTCAACAAAGGGCCTACACCACTTGTGGGTAAACCAAGGAAATACCTTTAGACATGATATTTACGTATTTTTCTTATATAAAACATAAATGTTGATCTGCATCAGGGAAAGCCACCACGTAACTTGGGAATGAGTTTAATGTACTTCACAGCTATTTAACACAAGACAAACATAGAATATGAATCCAACATAACGATGAACAATAATGGTGGTAGTAGAATAGCAAGGAAGCAAAATTTATAATAATACATAATTTTACCTCATTTATTATGAGAGCTTTGCCGTTCCTAACTATATACTGGACATCCCGTCGATAGAACTCTTTAGCTTTGAGTGCATTCATCACAAATCTGTGTGTGCCAAATTTTAATGGCGCTTAATGGCTGGAAGCTTTACTTAAAAAATAAATAAATAAGAAATTTCTTCTATTAAGAATTACGAGAATATAAGTTTGTGCTATACAGCAAAGACAAAAGAAAGAAAGGAAAAAAAAAAGAGAAAGAAAAAAGGAAAGGAATACAAGAGAGACCCCAAACAATCAAGAAAAGGGGGACAGATGGGAGCCTGTCTCGTTCATGAAGCTCCTTGGTCACTTATGTTCTTGGTTTTCTGACTTTTATTGTTCTTATTTTGATTGTATTGCTACTTGTTGAACCTCTATTTTGTTTGTACTTTTCTCCTTTCCTCTCACTCCTTCGGAAGCTTTTATTCTTGAACTTTTTCTCATTTTCATATACTAGAAAACTTGGTTTTTGTTTAAAAAAAAACAAAACAAAAAAAAACAAACGCAGGTGGGTGCCTGCAAAGGCTTATGCTTCATTTTGGTGTTTTTCTCTTAAACATGGAAAACAAACTTTCCAACTATAATCGAAAAGTTACATACTAAAAGCTACCTTTGGGAGTGAAGACTATATACCCCCAAATTGAAAGCAAAAAATACTCATAATTGAAAATTTATTTTTCTTTTGTCTTTTTTTTGGAAAGGAACCAAGCTTTTTGAGAAGAATACACAAGGGGCAAACAAAAAACAGCCTAAGCAAAAGGAGCAAAAAAGGGCTCCAATCTAACCAAATGAGACCCAACGGATACTTGCAAGAATCCTTAACAACTTTGGAGAGATTTAACTGAAAAATAATTACATAAAGGCTCCCCGACAAGAATTGATCTCACTAATCAAAAATTTACTAAAAACTTTAGAGAGAGAACTCCAAGAGGCTACATGAAGCTTTATCATCTCAAATTGGCCACCCCATTCATCAACGTATTCACACACTCCTAGCTTAGCTCACAAAAGAAGAATTTAACATTTATTAGATAAGTGTCTTTGATATTTGTCCTTCTAACTGTTGCTTAACTAGTCAAAACAAAAAAATAAAATAATAAAGTTAACGGAACACAAAATTCACTTAAGGATGGTAAATATTGAAAACTTCAAATGTTTTACTTTTACAAAGAAAAAAAAAGGAAAGATTCAGATTTCAGAATCCATAGGAAAATCAACCAACAATGAGAATATTATTTATAACTCAAAAATAAAAGTACACAAAAATTAAAATCATTTGACAAATTTTTAAAAACATTAAAAGTTAATAAAATGAAATAAATTATAAAAAAATTATATATAGCTTTTATCAAAAGCAATGTACAAAAAGACAACCCCAAAAAGATCCAAAATTAAAATAGATATTCAGCACTGTTGGTGTAGGTACTCCAAATTCTCTAATCAGCCTCTAGATCCACGGTTCATGAGTTGCTAAACATTAATCGTTTAAAAAAGAGCCAAAATTAAAAAAAAAAAAAAAAAAGGTGTTCTCATGGTTAAGTATCAATGCCAGAAGATAGTTACCAAATATAATCCAAACCAAAAGATTGCACAATTACCTGGCCCATGGATCATTTTCATCCCATAAATCATTGGTTTCAAGAGCAATCTCTGCCATCGCAATTCCTTCTTCAGTCAACTCAACCGAATTGTCTTTCAGTTCCACGTTATAATGCTGATACCAAAAAATACAATTCACAAAGTAGTAACAACACTTGTGTCTGTCTTTTCAGAGATATCATCCCACTAAAAAGAATATTCTTGTTCCCCATCACCCCAATAAAAAAAAATTAAAAAGAAAAAAAAAGTTTTTCTTTATTTTTTTATTATTATATATGTCTGTGTACTCCTTGTTAGTAACTATTTAAAAAAGCCAAAAAATACTCAAAATCTTAGAGTTCAAGAGGAGAAGTAAATTAAGTGATCAACTCACAATTCCCTTCACAAGCAGCTCCGCTACCTTAGCTGCAACTGGATATCGTCCAGCATCTTTGCTAGCCTAAGAAAGAAAATAACAAAGACAATATTATTTTTTATAGGAAACAGCTGCTTTCATTAAAGTAAAAAAAAAAACGGCGAAAATGATAGATTCAGAATTCACCCATTCCAATCAAAGAGAAAAATGAAACATTCGCCCATGCCAACCAAAGAGAAGAATGAAACAAAAAATAATAATAAAAACTCTTCAATTGGACAAAATGACAGAGAATGATTACAAAATCCATTGAGAGAAAACACCAATTAGAAGAGTTGAAAAGAATAGGATCCCAAGAGCCCACCGAATTTTTCTCTAAGTCTTGGAAAAATCTTCAGTTTCTCTATATTCAAACGTCCCAAAGAGTTAGTAAAATTACAGTTTAACCAAAGGCCAAAGTTTTTGCCATCTGTTTTGAATGTATGCTCAATGAGAGAGAGAAAGAGAAAATCCTTCTTAGTTAAAGCAAGTTCCAATTAAAGAAACAGAGGGTTTGTCCCCAAATGAGCCATACAAAATAAGAATAAATGACTAGCATCAATGCAGACTTGCACCAAACACACAAGCTAGAGACAAAACCAGGTGAGGTTTTCTCTCCGGTGTCTTTGGGCAGTACTAAAACCCATTTAGAATACAGAAGAATTTTCCTAACATGTATCTAGTGGCTTTGTCCTTTTCTCTGAAAAGGTAACCATGACTATGAGGACAATTTCTTGTTCTTCCTTCTTTATATCTCTCTATGAGGAAATGATATTCCGATTTCATCTTAAAAAAATAAATAGAGAGAGAGAGAGAGACAAGAAAAAGAAGAAAAGAGAATCAATCCCACCACAAAATTTCCACAACAAGATACGTTCTACTTATTCTTTTTCACATTGCGTATACTGCCTCTTCTTAGTGTTTAAACTACAGAAATTTTTTTTTTGTAATTACAGTGCCTCTCGATACTTTGTTGCAATTGGAAAGCTGTCGTTCATTATTTCTTTTGTCAGGCCAGGGCTCTCTCTCCCCGGGCCTTTAGGCTGTTTCTTTTCTATTTCATCTCTTAATGAGAAGTTTCTGTTTCCTATAAAAAAAAAAACAATATAACTGCACTACTTATTGACAAGATTTCTATATGCACCATTAAGTTGCTGAACTTCCAAAAAAATAACAAAATGACACACAGAGGGTAAAAATAGATTTACCTCACCGCTTATTAATAAAGGATTTCTTCCTTCATCAATTAGAACTGAGTCAACTTCATCAACTATAGCAAAATGGAATGGCTTTGGCCTGTCCATTTACATAATAACTTCACTGGCAGTTCAACAAAGCAATAGTAGCTAATTTCAAGTTGCGTCATAACATACCATCTCATCACAAGTTGTCCATTATTTCCAGCTAGATTGTCTCGTAGATAATCGAAACCAAGTTCCTGAAAATGCCCAAGATTTATGCTATTTCAGAAACAAGAAAGGAATGGATAAAGGATGTCAGTTCATCCACTAATCATAATCTTTTAGATTAATACAAGAGTAAGAACATTTCCAAGAACCATCACTTTGAGCCTCAGAATTATCTTGAAGCAATGGTTGATAGTGCAGTAGATGCAACAAACAACTAATTAAGATAAGACTTACCGAGTTATTCGTGTAAGTGATATCACAGCTATAGTTGCCTCTCCTCTCTTCGCCCGTCATCCCCCTCTGCTCATTCAATTAAGAATACAAAATGAAGAGAAAACTTGAAAAAATAAGTAATAATAATAGAAAAAGCTATAGGTTGAGAAGGAAGAGTTTTCTCTCTCTCGCTGATGACTATGTATAGCAGGCTCCTTGATGAGTCCCTATTTTAAGCCCCAACAAGTATGAGGAAGTTGAGAGCTCGGAAGTTTAGGATAGAGAAAAAAATGGTTTTATTTAGTTTTGACCAGGAGAATAAAGGAAAGTATGCCTCCTACAAAACCAACAGCTTCAACATCAAAGAGATGTCTATGGAACAGAAGATAATTCTGGATAGTTGATGCCTGCCTTGGCGAACCTACTTCATACCCCCTTTTTGGATGAAAAACTGAGCTTTCATTGTGACAGATGAAAGAATTACAAGAGGACATAGAAAAAAACAATCTAACAAAAGGAGCCAAACTAAAAGAATGTGCTCCAATCAAGCAAGATCTGACTCAAGGAGTAATTACAAAAAGCTTTGGACAAAGAAGTTGAAAGAGAGACGTGATACCTAACATGATCCATACCTCCTCCCAAGAATCCTCAACCCCTCTAAAAGTCCTGTTATTCCTCTCAATCCACAGCCCCCAAATATAGCTAATAAGCTCGTTCACCACAAAAATGGCCCTATTCTAAAACGGGAATAAAGAAGAGCCTCCTACATCATGTCAGAACACCCTCTAGGGCGAGCGAAACAAACTCCAAAAGTCTGAAGAAAGTAATCCTGAAACAAGGAGGCAAAGTGGAGGGCATTTTTATAGCTCTTCTCCTTATGGGTCCTTTCCATTTTTGAATATTTCATATTATCAATGAAATATGTGTTTCTCATAAAAAAAAAAAATTAAAAGGGGCAAAGTAGCAGCTCAAAGGTCTTTTGTTGCTCCTCTACAAAGAAAATAGCACTGCGGCCTCATCAGAAAGGACGAGTGCCTCAACATTTTATCCAAAGCAGGTCTTGGAGGACCTGCTTCATACCCTTGCCAGGTAGGTGGCTTGAGAAAGGAGAAGAGAAAATGGAGAAAATTCAATAAGTGATACAATACAAAATTACACAATTTAACCATACTACTCTAAAAACCAATCAAGAATGGGAATGGAATTAAACGTAATATAATTGCATGGTAGATGTATTTGAAATATTAAATCAGTAGTTTAGATTCTGACTTTTTATATTATTACAAAATATCTTGTAAAGGCCACCACAGAAAGTAAATACAACAAGCAAACTAATAATCACCTGTATCAAACCCACTGATAAACCTAAAAAGCGATGAACATGACCCATCCATTCAGCATCACGTTGAGCCAGATAGTCGTTCACAGTTACAACTAGAAAAGTGAAGTATTATTAGAGTTTGAACCAAAAAAACACGCACATGTCAACAAAGACCCCATACACTTCCTTTCTAATTCAAAGGGGCAATCACTTTGTAAATTGTAACAAAACCAACTCTATGAGCCACACGGGCTAGGAATTAACAAAAGGCAATTCACTTGGTACTGGTACCTTTAACATAGGGGTAGCACACTTTTTGCTCTAGATGTCTAGTAACACAAATTGAAATGCTTCAAGCTTTATAGAATCAAACCTAAGTTACTCGTGCAATTCATCCAATATGTTCTTAATAGTGTTCTCCTACTATCTTTACTCTTTTTTTCCCCATCATCTACAATAAAGGCCACCAATGATCATGTAAATCGACAGGCTTCGGGAAGTTGGTAAATGTATTAATCATGTTCATCACTATTAGTTTCGTCTCAACAAACTTGGTTTGTTCCAAAACGATAGTATAGTACGAAAACAATCTTATGATTTTAGATGTGTGCAATCACTGCCCTTCTTTTTCTTCTCTCTCTCTTGTTTCCTAGATAATATTTGTTCACAAATCAAGTCCAATTGCTACAGCTCGACTTCAATTAATTTGCTAGAGGCCATGATCATACCACGCGCAAAAGTAAATTCGAAGTCATACCATGTACACCTTCACCCGTCAGGGCATTCAGATATGCTGCCAACGTAGAAACTAACGTTTTCCCTTCACCAGTTTTCATTTCTGCTATGGAACCATCATGAAGCACTGCTCCACCAATAATCTATAGTAAATATAAGCAAAGCCACACTGATCACCATGATAACCACCAGCACCTCAAGACCAAATATATGTACATACATATACACAACGAAATAAATAAATAAATTGCATGAACAACTAAAGACCGTGAGAGTGGGAAACAGATACCTGTACATCAAAATGGCGCATCCCAAGCTTCCGTTTTGCGGCTTCGCGAACCACCGCAAAAGCCTCTGTAAGGATTAAAAGTATAAAAATAAATAATTAAATGGAATATAACAAGAAAATGAAATTAGATTATATTATAAGCTTAGAAATTCAGAAAGATAGATAATAATAATGATAAAATGCCCCAACCAGCTTGAATGTCTGCCAACGTCTCCCCCAGTCCAAGCCTTCTCCGGAACTCCGATGTCTTTGCAGTGAGCTGAATATTCATAAAGCCGTTTATTTTCATATTTTGGGCTTTGGAGTCAAATGGACATCAAAAACAACTACAGCCAAGAGCTGACAAGTTAATCAGTGAACCTGCTCATCAGTGAGGCTCTGTATCTGCAGCTCAAAATCATTAACGGATTTCACAAGACGATAGTAATCACGAACAACCCAATAATTCATGCTCGTAAAATCGCTCCAAGTCTTTCGAACAGACCCCAATGTTTCCTGTACCAAAAGTGAGAATATAAACAGAGAAAATTGAAATATATGAAATGCCGACAGGAGACGACGGCGAAACAACGAAGTATAAAGAATACAAACTTTCAAGGACGCGGCAACGGGAGTGGCAGTGACCGGTGATGAGGAATTGAGTATTAAACGATGTCGCCGGAGACGATAGGGCAAAAACGACGAAGTTTGGAAAGAAGTGGGACTGGCAAAGCGAATGGTGGGCCGCAAAGACGGTGGCAGAGAGGGGGACTTCGGAAAAACATGAACGGAAGCCATGCAGGTTTATCCAGGGTTTTTGCCTGCTCGCCCCTGCGACAACAAACTAAAACAAACCTAACGACGATGGGATTGCTCCGGCCGCCGGCGGTAAGGTCGACGGGAACCGTGAGTCTCAACAGAGGAGTCGCTCTTCGCCACCGGTGTGGCAGTGAAATGCTGATGGGTCAGTGGATGAGTTTGTGGCTTTGTGCTGTGACGCCTGATTTTGGGCTTCAGGCCCTAAAAGCCCAACAAACTTTTTTTTATTTTTAACAGCATGGCCAATTTAAAATAGCTTTTTTTTTTCTTTTCTTTTTTTTCTTTTGAGAAGGAAAGAGCTGTTTTTAAAGTATGACCACTTATTAAAATTATGGGAAAAATATTTTAACCTCCTGTCAGAATCAACCTCATATCTAGTGTAGGTTCTTAGTATATATATTGTATTTGCTAGAAATTATAGTAAGTTAAACAAATTAAAGTGCATTCCTAAAAATTAATGTATTGTAATTGTTAAACGTTATATATATTTAGTGGAGAAATAATTAAAAAAAGAATAGATAGGTTTTGCAACTAATTAATAGTTGATCGTTCGTAAATTTAGTCTTCGTTATAATATTCAACACGAGTGATGAGTAAAGTTGAAACAGACATTATCAATATTCAGTTAACTTCACAAAAGATTCAACTTCTAACATGAAAATAATAATAAAAAAAGAGAGAGAGAGACAGAAGAATCTCATTAGGTCGCTCTGGCAAAGTAACGCTTCAATCTCAAACAAAGAACCTTGTTAATATATACATTAAACAAATTATTAGAACATGCATGGATTTTTCTAAATTAAGAGAGCAACAACTAATGGGATAAAAGCATGTAATTCTTCGAGACATCCCACTATAGCAAAGTATACTAATGATTTTAGATTTATTAAAATCATTCTTACGTAACATCAAACGTGTTGGTTTTTGTCTAACCAAAATGAAGTTGTTTAAAAAATGCAATCGGTAAAATGAGCAATTGAATAATACAATCAAAATATCAATACTTTTGAAATTGGTGTATAATCATTGAATAATCCTTGATGGTAGGGGTGCACGAGTATAACYAAAAACCAAGCTCACCAATCGAAACCGACCGATCAAAGGTGGTCAATTGGTTTTAAAGCTAAATCGATTTGTGTTAGATTTTTCATATGCAAAATCGATCAATAAGTTGGTCGATCCATCTAAACCTATAAAAAATCAACCGATACTGACTATTTAATATATATTTATATATATGTCATTTTAACTTTTAGGATTTATTTTTTATGTCGCCCCCTCTTCTTATTCCTATCTCACGCCTCATCTTTTTTAGTTATGCTTCTCTCTCACTTTCTCAGTCTCACTCCCCACTACCTCTCTATCTCACGATTCTCTCTTAGCTCTCTCAATTTCACTCTCACTTCTCATCTCACATGAACAAACAATCAGCTTTCTCAAATCAGTCAATGATTAAGATAAATTTTGAAAACAAAAAAATGTAATATATATATTTTGGTATAAACAAAATCGACGAAAATGCAGAAAAAAATTTGTAGGTTCCCATTTTAAATCCATGTCAACCAACCGTTAAACATCCCTTTGGGTATAAACCCTCGTGACTTTACTTTTGGTTTCATCCAAAAGGTCTTGTACCAATAAAGATGTCGTCTCTCACATTTATAAACGTGATCTTCCTCTTATCTAGTCGATTTGGAACTTTAGTTACACTCCCTTGTAATAAGAATATATAACATGTGATTAACACACTTTATTTATATATACATATATATATATATATATATATATATTGTCATTCCTTGTAATGCCAAAAGCGAGTATAACTCAATCAATAACGAGCATAATTCAATAATAACTGACATTTATTTCTAATCAAGAGATATATTGTGAGTTCATCCCTAACCATAAAAGGGTGAGCCATGATAACCAAAGCTAAACCTTAACAATACAGAGAGTTAAAAGAAAATCAAGACAACAGATCTCAAGTGCGGCCCAAAGACAGTAGTATATAATGCTTCATCAAAATTCATAAATAGGTCAACTCAATGTCGTGTCCTGGAACCATGGAAGACAAATTGTACGTTTCTTTTTGTTACTGGTCTGGTATGTATATATTTTTCTGAAAAAAAATAATAATAAATTAAAAATATATATTTTTATTTTGAAAAACTAAAATATTTTTTTAATTTTTCCAACGTAATATCAAAAGATATAAACTAGTATAAATATATATTCATGTTAAAACATATAAACTAGTATAAATATATATTCATGTATTCAAAACTATCTTTATCCAAATTTAAGTCCCTAGCATAAAGTTATATATCCTTGTGGAATCTAACGACAGAAGTTTAAAATCCTTAAATATGAATCAGGTGGATTTTTAGACATCCATCTAAAAATAATATGGTGTGTTTGGTTGGTGATGTTAAAACAAAAATGTGAAAACAAAGTTGTATTCCACGTTTTCAGTGTTTTTGGATATGTGTGGTTGGTAGTAGATTTAGAAATTGAATTCCAATTTTAAAAATTATTCGAAAGGTTTAGTAAAATATTTGTAAACTAGCAATAGTTACCCACTAAATATTTAGTTCAATCTAAAATAAAATTAATTAATTTATTAACTTATATGTTATATACTTTATATAATTTTTATTTTATAATATTATAGAATTTATAGAATATTATATTTTACATTTCTTGTAATTTTAAAAAAAATAAAATAAAATGAGTTTATTATTAGTTTTTAGAATAATTATGCTTAAAAGTTTCAAATTCAAAATATGAAATAGTATTAAAAATATAAAAATATTGTTTTAAGAATTTTAGTTAGAAAATCATAAAATTCTAAAATAATTTTCGAAAACAAATCTGCCAAACAGATATTATAAATCTAAAAATAAAAATTTGGATGAGATACCAAACATGGCATTAAAAATTCACTTTCAAATATTGATGAATGATGTTTGGAACCAACATTCCTTCAAAATCAAAACAATATAAAAAGAAAAGGTAAAAGATATCAAATATGGCTTTATTGCAGTAAACTATGATACCATGATCCACCCCCCAATTACACAATTTTCTAGGTATTTGTTTCTTCCATTTTTAACGAAGAAAAATGTATTATATAGTTCCAACCTTAAAAAATACATGTACGATAACAACAATATTTTTATTTATGTTTTGGAACAAATTGGAAATGGGAATAATTAAAAAGAAACTTGTCTGGATTGTTTCCAAAATTTGTATATAATCGAGAATGTCCCGAAAAAGAAGAAATAAGAAACAAAGTTAGTTGTAAAATATTTAGATTTACAATAAAAATTAGAGACCAAAAACAATAAACGAAAATGTTACCGAGTCGAAAGTGAATCTCAATAAATTATGGAGGTTGTCCAGAGAGAGGGATTGACCCAAGAACAGGAGTTAAGCAAAGATTTAGCAATTAGCAAACTAAAAAGTTTCTAAACAAATTGAAGTTTGGTGAATTATAACAAAGAGTTGATAGGATTTGTTCACCCACCAATTAGGTGCCTAATAAAATAGAGAAAGAAACAACTTCTACTTTACATTGAATTTTAATTTGCTTTAGTCCCATTCTCCTATATGTCGCAACTATGTTAGAGCGTTTTTTATTTCTGGTTTTTCATTTTTAATCCTTTAAAATATAAGTATTTGCTAATTATTGTTTCATAGGAAACGTTTCAAAAATTGTGTATAAATGTTTTAAATAACAAAATCAAGTTTCTTGATTACTGTTTTCAATTTTTCCAAAAATATAGATAAAAGTATTATTTTATCATTTTTTTACTTATAAAATGTTAATAAATATAACAGAAAAAGTTTTAATATTTAATTTGGAACATTAATTTTCATATAAAACTTTCATTCTTTTAATTTAAAATTTTAGAATACAAAAAACAAAAAATGATAATTTTTTAATTTTTTCCTGATAGTCGTGAGTGTTCGAACTAGCTTAAGCGCACCACGACTGATTTCACGAGACACCCTATTGAATTTGGTTGTCCAAAAAACATATAAGAAGTCGTAGGTGGCTATCATGTAGTTTGAACTTATTTCCTCTAAATTTTTTAATTATCAAATATTTTTTTAACTAAAAAAACAAAAAAATAAGAAACAATTTCACCAATTCTATTTGTATCGATGGAAAAATAATAAAGGAGAAACAAAAAACAAGAACATTATCAATTGGACTTTATATACTTCGAATGAACGACACCCTTCCCTCCTTTTTGTTTTAGTCTACCATTTACTCCATCCAAATATTTGGAAATACTTGTGAAGCAAAATTTCTGTAAAATATAATAATGGAGAAACATGGCTTCAATTATTTTAGCTCCCCAAAAAGAGGAGATCGAGAGCTCTCATACCAAAACGTGTGTAGTAAAATTTCTCTCAAGGAATGTGGAAACGTAACTTGAAGAACCTTTGGCTTTTTCTATATTTTGTCACTGCCTTTCACATTTGTGTCAAGTCAAATTTGTTCAATTATTTTACAAAGTTTCAATTTCGTTTATATATTTTAATTTTATTATATCAGAAGTTAATAAATGGGCATGATGTTAGTGTGGATTACTAAAACTAAGGTTAAGGTTAAGCCAACGTAAGTATAGATCAACATATTAAGATTGTATATATATTTTAATTTTATCATATTTTTTTACAAAATTGTATCGGATAAGTATCTGAAAAATGTTTGATAGATTTATGAAATTTTAATTTTGTGTCTAATATGTATTTGAATTGTAGGAGTGTTTAAAAGTTTTTTTTTCCAAGTGTAAACATGCGTTGGATTCTTTGTTAGTAGTTTCTCTCATGCTTCCACTTTGTTATTCTCTTCGTTTTTTCGTTATAATTCGAACTTATGACCTCTCGATCAGAGATAGGTGTCAATTTCCACTGAGCAAAGTTCATGTTAACTTCAATTTCTACGTGTTTAATAGGTCTCTATACTTTCATTTTTGTGTCTAATAGATCTCTAAATTTTAGAAGTGTCTAACGAGTCTCTAAATTTTTTATTTTTTTTATTTTGTGTCTAGTAGGTCTCTAAAATTTAAAAATATCTAATAGCTACCTAAACGTTTAATTTTATTTTTAAAATCACATATTTA